GAAGTTCCCTTTTGGCCGATCCTCCAAAACAGGGGATGGGTTGACTGCGCAATGTCCTGTCACCAAAGATATGGAACACCACTGGATGCCACTTGCAGGGATCGCACTAGAAAGTCTTTTATCCTTGTCAATCCGGTCCTGAGACAATATATGACTGCATGCGAGACCGCCCATGAGCAGATGTTTGACTCACATCCAGTCCTTCAAGCCACATTTGACATGGACGTAAAGGTTCAGTACAGGCAGGTCTGGTCTTTGCCCAGAAGCATTGACGATATCCAATCGGATGCAAAAAGAATGAACAGTGCTGCAATTGAAAACTGCCATGCCAGGAGACGGAAGTTTCAAGATGCCATTGACCAGGGACATGAGGACGATGCAATACGGCAATTTGCATTGGCCTTCGAGGAGTCGGCCGCTGTCTCATGCGTTGATGCTGAGGGGCGACCACAGCATGCACCTGCGGGATGTTGGAAACGTTGCCGTAACAGAATCAAAAAGCTCACCCCTGTTGCTGCGCCCATGCTCAAACAAGGGGGCAGCAGTGACTTTTGTATCCCAATATGCCAGCCGTCCATTAGCGTGAGAAGACATGTGAAGCAGCTGCGAAGGGTACAGAGTCTATCAAGACAGCTTGAAGCCTTGGAACGAAATGGGGGTGAAGTCACAAGAATGAAATGCAACCAGCTCTGGATCAAAATTTGTGAAGCCAACGGTTTTGAACATGGTTTCCAAACATGGGTCCTGCCCAACTTTCATTTCTTTGTGCCAACTGCATTACCTGCTGCTGAGTACGTGCAGGCCCTGTGTCTGCAGCTTCAAGAGTTCGTGAAAGATGAAGTCACAATGGAGAGAAACCTACGATGCAGTTTTCGTAGGATGCAGTTGATGGAAGACATAGGCAGAGGGGGGCGCTTAATTTATCGGTCAGTTCGAGATGCTACGCCACCACCACCATCTTTCATCACTTTCTCCAAATGCCAGAAAATTTGCAGCCAGAGGTGGAAGAAAGAAGGTAACAACAAGATTCTGTATGAAAACCCGTGCGTGTTGGAAGAGGGCATGCCTGTCCAGTTCCAAGGCCAGTTGCTCATGCTTGAGCGAGTGGACAGCAGGTTCCTGTATGTCAATCCACCGGCAGTTTGCCGTGATGCAAATGACATGAAGGTATTCCAAGAGAACCACACGTCTGATCCCAAGGAGATGCAGGAACATGTCGCCAATGCATGGAGTGAGCTGTGGCAAAACCCAGAAAGCTCCGATGATGACAAATCACAGGTTGCCGAGTTCATCACTGCTCTTGATGATTGCCCGTCATGCCCTTACAAGCCATTCAGCATCGACAGTTGGAAACAAATGATGAGAGGGGTAAAATGCCGCAGTGCCAGGGGAGCATGTGGTTTCTCCATGATGGATGTCAAGCGAATGCCCATTGTCCTATTGGAATGGCTCTTTTGCATATACAAGGCAGTTGAAAATGGCATGGGTTGGCCCAAACGCTTAACACTAGCTAGAGTTGCGATGTTAGCCAAACCAGGCGAGTCAGTCAATAAGCCTCTTGGGATCAGGCCAATTACCATTCTTAGTGTGCTTTACCGGCTGTGGAGCAGATACCGTAGCTTGCAGGTTCTGGAGTTTTTGGGGCAACATGTTCCACCGCAAGTCGGTGGCATTGCATCCAAGATAAGTGCTGATATCCTTGCAGCAATGGTGGGAGATGTCGTCGATGTTGCGCACACCACTGGAGAGCATCGTTGCGGGTTAGTCATTGACCTTCAGAAGTGTTTTAATCTTGTTCCTAGATGGCCACTACAGCAACTGCTTTCCAAACTTGGGGTTCCCCAGGAGTACATCAATGCGCACATGGCCATGTTACATAACTTGAACAGATACATAGACATTGCTGGACAAATTGGCGATGAGGTGCCAAGTTCTTGCGGGGTGCCTGAGGGATGTGCTGCCAGCGTTACCTGCATGGTCGCCTTCACAGTACTTGCCGCCAAAGTGATGCAAAATATCTGTCCGTCGGTCCTTGTGTCCATGTTTGCTGACAATTGGGCAGTTATTGCACATGCTGTCCAAACGTTGGTTCAGGTGATTCAGTCGCTGGAACAGTTGGTCCATTGTCTAGGAATGAAACTCTCCCCAGGTAAATCATGGCTTTGGGGCACTTCTCAGGCAATGCGAAAAGAGCTTGGTTGTGTTACTATGAATGGTCAAAAGGTTCCAGTGCAACACTCAGCAAAAGATCTTGGATGTGACATGGCTTACACAAAGCAGACTGCTAAAAAGACTTGCCTTGCGAGACTGAAGAAGTCCTTAAGGGTTCTCAAAAGGGTCAAAAGGAAAAAAGTACCAAAGAACTTCATGGGACGCATGTGCACAACTGTCGGTGTCGGCATTGTTAGTTATGGATCTGAATTGGTACGGTTCACCAACAAACAGTTTCATAGCTTGAGGTGTGCAATTGCTTCGTCACTAGGTCTCTATAGGTCAGGTGCAAATGCCTTACTTGCCACCAGTGCTACAGGACTAGTTGTTGACCCACAGGTGAGACTGTTACGCCGCAGATTGAAGTTTTTCAGGAGATTTTTCAAAATATTTCCTGGCAGAAAAGAAGCCTTCCTGCACCGCATTACCAAACATGTCAGCAAAAACAGGGTTTCAGGGATCTCTGCTCATTTTCATTGCGCGTTGCGTGATACTGGATGGCGATGTGAAGCTGGAGCCTCTATAGTACATGAAACTGGAATCAGGTGCAACTGGGTTGATGACTCCATCCCTTATATTTTCCGGTGCTTAGACAAAGCTTGGGAAGCGACTGTTTGTACCAGAATTCAGAGAAAAGGTTTTGATCTGCCTGCGTTTTCTGTGAATGGTTTCCGGAAGCTTTTGAAGGATCGAGGCCCTCAGCAGCAAGGCCTTTTAACTGCTATCGCCAGTGGAAAGCATGTCACCATGGATGCCTTAGCTCACTATGCCAAGGAAGATGCAAACTGTCCATTCTGCGAGGCAGTTGACAGCAAAGACCATAGAATTTACCATTGTAATGGGCTCCGTGACTTGAGGGATAAATATAAGGGTACCATTAGATGGCTCAAGAAACAACCTTCTGCAGTTCTCCACTTTGGCCTGATTCCTGATGATAATGATGCTGTGCTGTTGCGACAGAACTTGTTCAATCAAAGTTTTCGGTTTGTCCTTCCTGACCTTTCCTCATTTGGTAATGTCTACACTGATGGAACTTGTTATAACAACACGTCATGGGAACATGCCATAGCAGGGGCGGCGGTGATCCTGGTCACTGGGGAGTATCAATGGCAGTTGGTCGCGCGACAAGTGCTACCCACACCAGATCATTCTGCATATAGGGGGGAATGTTTTGCTGTCCTGTTAGCCTTACAGAACTTCTGGAAAGTCAATCTCCACACCGACTGTGAGGCCGTTGTTGGGGAAGTCGAAAGAATGCTTTGCGATATCGCGAACGGTGTGTCTCCAACTTCCAACTCACATCCGGACGTATGGGATGTCATTGCGTGGCATTTGAGGCAGAGAGATGCTGGTGAAGTCACCATAACCAAAGTCAAGGCTCATGTGAATTGGAGAACTTTAGATGAAGGTCAGATGCGCAAAGATGCTTTTTTCAATAACGTTGTTGATGGCGAGGCGAAGAAAGCAGTTGCAGCTGATTTTTTCACTGAGTGGCAAAAGTTTGAGACACTCCTTGAGCGTAAAAAGGCACGTGAACAAGGTGTACGTCATTACCATGATTTGCTGTGTGAAATTCATGCGAGGTCCTTCAATGTAAGGCCTCGTGAGCGGCCAATCGATGTGCAACCATCTTTTGCGGAGCTGTGGAATATGCAAGGCATAGCCAGGATCATTCCTGGTCCAGATCAGCAAGATATCCAGAGGTGTCCTTTCGGAGCTAAGTTTGCCCAACGTGTTCTCTCTCGGTGGATCAAGCTGCAATGGTTTGATGGGCCACCTGTTTCTGCTGTGGAAATTTACTTTGATTTCTGCATTGACACCAGGTCGCAGGTGCCTGTGCGATCGGATGGAAATGTTTGGAAACTTAGAGAGGATAGCATTGAAGCTGACGTTACGACGCAGAGGCTGGGTCTGCAGAATCATGCCTGGCTCAAATTTTTGCGATGGTGGATTGACAAGCTGCAGTGCCATGACATGCAGGTATGCTTATGGACCAACCATCACTACATGGGGAATCAATCTCCGACCAAAACTGGTGCATGGTATCAAGGTCTCGGAAGAAGTATGGCGATACCTCCACACTGGGGGGAAGACGCAACGGAATTTTAAGGCACCCTGGACTCACAGGGATCTCAAAATGGGATAATGTTATACAAAGGGTGAGAGTGACAAGCTAATCGCGGGTCCTCTGCACGGCTGTCGAAGCACTCAACTGCAAAGTGGCAAAACTGACTAATATTTTTCAAAGGGGTTGAAACCACCAACCAGTGATGAACAAATCAAGAATTGTTGAAAATCATCATTTTCAATAGTTGTCAGACACATGTCCACTACTTATAGGCTTGGCATGGCTTAGGTGTGTGTGTGTGTGTCTGGGATAATTCCAGAAATCGGGACGTGAGTCCTGGTACCTGGTACCTAGTGATTTTTTGTTGTTATCCCTATATCAAACCAATTTTCTTGCTCGGTTGCACTCGTTTCTTTCCAGTAGGTAGCTTTTCCAGAGTCAACCCCCCATGGGTTTCCTGTATTTTTTCCATATGTTTTCTCATGAAACCATAGAAGACCAATCCTTACCATCCCATCCTTTCTACCCTCTGGTAATTTAACATAACTATGGAAAATCACCATTTATCGTGAATTTTCCCATGAAACATGGTGGGTTTCTATAGTTTTTTGTATGTTTACCAGAGAGTAACATTTTCTAACCATCCCATGCCACGGATGCCACGGATGCCACGGATGCCACGGGAAAACTCCCGAAAACTCCCGAGTCTCGATGCCTCGAGGCGCCAGAGATTAGAAGTGAATGGGGTCTTCGACCGATCACCCAGCCACTCGACCGATCGGCCCTGTGAACAACGGAAATCCACTACCTGGCATTAAGGGAATGTATGTTTGTTATATGGCAGTGTGTCAAAACCTTGTACCCCTGGTGAACATCAAAATAGCTGGTAAATGGATGTTCATCCCACTAAAAAGGCCATCTATAGGTATTGACCCATACCCATATTTATGTTTTGGGGGTTCCTTTAAGCAAATCCAAGAAGCTGGGTTTTTCTGAAATGAAGACAGGAACATGATGGAACATCACTATGGAATCTATGGAACCTAAGAATGTGTCATGTTTTGGAACTAAAAGCAAACTATGGCAATGACGACCATGCTTTGGAAGAAACACAACTTTAAAATTCTTTGTATATGCTCTGAATGGCTGATCTTTGATTGCCTGGTGAAATCACACTGAAAAAGACGGAGATCAGTTTGTCCAGCCAACAAGGTGTCCAAAACCATCCAAAACCCATATCGGCACAATGGATTATCATCATGTTTTCCATATGAAACAATGGCAATTTGGACCCGGTTTTTGGTGAACCCCCCATGAATCCAAGCTGGAAACCCATGGGTTTCCATGGCGCGCAGCTCAGGTTGCACCACGACAGACTGCTTGAGTCGTCGCGTGGAATCCCAGCGGAGACGTTTTTCTATTGGAAGCGGAGACGGCAAAGGACTAGTTATCTATAACCCAAATAATATGAACAGATATCCCATCATTTTTCCAGAAAACATATAACTTACCCTCCGGTAAACATACAAAAAACTATTGAACATGACCATTTAGTTCGTGGATTTTCCCATTGAAAATGGTGATTTGCCATGGTTATGTAAACGTTTACCAGAGGGTAACCGAAAAGATACCTAATTTGGCTATTCCCTGCCATTCCTGGGTGTGGCAAAAAAAATTATCCTTGACGGAATTTTCGGAAAAGATGAGGTGCACCCTGGAAATGCACCCACCCCACCAAGCCCCGTAGGAGGTTTTTTGGATTTGGGTCCAGTTTCGGCAACCGGTCAAGGTCCAAGTCATTGTAATTAGAGGCCATATTCAAGCGAGAAATTGGATGACATTGTGCAGCTTACAGTAGGTAGTTTGGCTGCAATCGCTGCAGCCTACGGATCCAAAGCCCCTTCTCAGGAAGTAAATGGATCCATAGGGTCAACGCGGGACACAAGGATTGACTTCAGGATAGGGCTATGGCAAAGAAAGTATTGTAAATACATCCAAGACAGTGGTAATGACATGTAGATTTTGTTTGCCACGCTCTCTATACCCTTTGATGTTAGATCCAAGATTGCGGGCATGGCCAGGACTTTATCAATGCTACATGCGACGTGAAGAATTCAACACTGCAGATGGAAAGTGGGGTGGCCTAAATTTCTTCGCAACGGCCTCTCAGAGGATGACCATCAAACATCCGATATGGGGCTGCAGTGATATGTCACCGAATTATTACCTGGGTAAGGAGGATATAGGGCCCCTATAACTTAAACATACTTAAACAATATATCATATCCACCATATATCCACCTTAAGCTTCCATATCCCAAGAATAGGGTTTTGCAACATATTCCATGATAAAATAGTCAAAGCGCAATTTGCTTTTGGCTGCATCGGCGGTCGCCTTTGACACCTTTTTTTTAAACGAGGTTTTACAGGATATGTACAGGTATGATACGCATTTTAAAGGCATATTTACGGGCTTTCGATGGGTAAGCATGACCAAGTGCCACTTACCAGGACTTTGATTCCATCGCATGGCTAACATATCTGGTGGTGACATCCCCTGGATGGCACCTATAGACTTCAGTTTCAGCCCACAGGATGGGGATGGAGGTAATGGAGGTCACCCTTTTTAAATTTTGGGACCGTGTTTGATTCACATTGATTCACCACGTTTTTTGGTAGTCAAACAATGTCAAACATATTGCTACTCATGTTCACCATATGTAGCAGCATATGTTTGCTGCTTAAATACGTCGCCCTTTGAATCGTTACATCATTGCTTTGCCATCCCCGCCCCAATTGGGAGGACATCCTCCAGTTCCTATCCGAGGTACGGCCTGCAAAGTTCCTGTGTCGTGGACTACTCCTATGCTGGCGCTGGTTTCTTCGGTCCACCCGGGAGAGGCGCAAGCGCCTTGATACCCTGGGGTCAATGATATGATTTCGAAGTTTTTATGGTTGATGATGGTTGATGGTTGAAAAGGAATTCAAAGTTTTTCTGGTTTTTATGGTTTTTATGGTTGATGGCTGACAAGTTGAAACAATGTGGGTTTGTGCAAAAGTAGGGTGTAACTTCCGAATAACCACCCATTAAATGCTTTATTTTGATAGGGACACGGGACACGTTTTGTCATAACACCATGTGATTTTGGGGTCGTCCGGACGAGTTTCAATGTGTTGGATTGATATTGATTTCACCTCGAAGGGTTTCATGTCCTATGAGTTTCTGAATGGCAAAACCCCTGGCCAATGCCCAGGGAAGATCCCATGAAATAGCGGCTATGATGTCCCATGATATCCTACTATATCCTACTATATTCCATGTTTTTTTCTCAAAAAGCCATCCAGGGAGTTTGCTCGGGTGAAGGTAGTAGTTGGCTGGCGGCTTGTAACGCCTGTGGGGTGGGGTGGGGTGGGGGTGGGTAATAACTTCTTGTTCACACTGCTTCTAACACGCTCTTGATGCTACACTCTTCACCTCTTCAAGTACCTTCCAACACGCTCTTGATGCTGCGCTCTTCACTTCTTCAAGTACCTTCCAACACGCTCTTGATGCTGCGCTCTTCACTTCTTCAAGTACCTTCCAGGACGCTCTTGATGCTGCGCTCTTCACTTCTTCAAGTACCTTCCAACACGCTCTTGATGCTACGCTCTTCACTTCTTCAAGTACCTTCCAACACGCTCTTGATGCTACGCTCTTCACTTCTTCAAGTACCTTCCAACACGCTCTTGATGCTAGGCTCTTCACTTCTTCAAGTACCTTCCAACACGCTCTTGATGCTACGCTCTTCACTTTTTCAAGTACCTTCCTCGGGTCCAAATGTTTATAGAAATTTGACTCAAGTCCTGAAACGCATGTGAAACAAAGACTTGGAAGTCTGACGCAAAGTAATCAAAAAATGATTTGTCACAGGATTTAACAGAATTAAAAAAAAGGACCCAGACATTGAGAAAACACACGCAACATGAACTCACCACGGTTGGAAAAACAGGTGGCAATCTGTGAGCCGCTTACCAGGTAGTTGGACGGCGGAGTTTGTCACCACTTATGATGAGACGGGGACGGTGACCAATGTGCAGGTGCGACGGGGGAAACGATGAGATGGATCTTGAATGAATTATTGTGGTAACGGTTCAGTTTTTTTCATGAGCATATATAGGTTATTTAAAAGTTGCATGGGTCAGAATATATCAGAATCATATGGGTATGGGTCAAAATTAGGTACCCCAATCATTGGATGGTTAATACTAAACCAGACTAACATCTGTGGTCCCCTAGGTCTTCCATTTTGACCCTTATCCATATAGAATCATGACATCCCACCTTTTGATGGTGACTTGAGATGACTGTCAGAATATTATCAGGGATCCAGACCCCAGGGCCCCAGGGCACGTACTAGGCTAGGGGCTTTTGCTGGTTTTGGTGAATGTATATGTTAAGTAGATATGCACAGGATATCACAATAAGGACTGGGGATTTTAATGTTACAAGTCATAAACAGAAAATAAAGAGCAAGGTCTATAGACTCAGATACCGATGGGACAGAACAAGCACACAATATTGGACAAAAAAGTATAGATGCCGAAGAATGGCAGATAGGTATCAATCAGTAGGGAGATAGATAGAACTTTGTAGGGAGATATATAGATGCATAGATAGATAGACAGAGATGGCTAGGTAGAAAGATAGAAAGGGTAGACATACAGGCGAAAACCAAAAACAAACCATGATCATAGTCAAACAAAATAAGCATATTATACTTGAACACAAACATTGCTGCAAATATGCATGTGTCCACAGGTTGATCGGCAAAAAGGCATATGAGTATCATAATTAGATGGAGTCAACAATTTCAGGAGTCATGGTATACCTTCATTTTCATAGTGGTTGGTGGAATATGTTCATTCCTTGGTAACATATACTCTGTATGATGGATTCCGATCAGAGTCAGTTCAAATCCATTTCCATGTCTACTGTATGAACTCCTGGACGATACCTGAAGTAAGACGAAGTGAGTCAACCGTCAGCTGGTATTTGTGATCAAACATTTCTTTCAAAACTAAATTCAAGATATTCAAAGTGCAGCGAGCTGTGCAGCTGTGCAGTTCCCCAAGAAAATCTGCGCAGGAGCAGCCTTGCGCACAATCGGAACCTGCCGCCTTCATTTGCCGCGTGGGGAATGCCCAGCTTCGTTGCTGCAAGGGGCAAACAGCCCCCTTGGATATCTTGGCGCCTGATTTGAGATTGGAATTCTTAAATCTCGTTTGGTCCATCTTTTCATTTCATGCTTCTTTTACGGTTATTGTTTATACTCGCTGGGGAAGATGAAGGCAGGTGACTTTCAGACCAGTCCCTCATTTACATGACCAATTTACCAGTAATTACACTGTTTTTTTTCCCAGTGGCATGGCCAAAGCTTTACATCGGTCAGCACGGGCATCGACGAAGAGATGATTTTGACGTGCCGCTAGGTCTGATTTCTTGTAAAGCGACCTCACCGTAAACCACAAGCATACCTTAGATTCCGTAGATTGATTAGGTTTGGGAGTTGCAACAAAAATCATCCAGAAGAGATGGACATTACTGCAGACCTGTTCCAGTTTTGTTTGGCTTATATTAATTCAGTTTGACTTTAGTGGACGAATTACAATAATTATACCCACAATATCCCATTGTTGTACTTGGCTGTGTCAGTGTATCCTGGTTTGTAGAATCATATTCCCATGACGGATCCATGGTGCTGCTATATATGGTGCTCCATGGATCCCATCAATATACCCCAGTCATGTTAGCATTTTTCTACCAGCACCATGGATCCTATGGGTATTGAATCCACACTCAAACCGTTGTCGCTTGGGACATGTTGGTGAATCACCAGGATGGAGGAGCATGCGAGGTGCCGTTCGGGGAAAACCGCGGTTTCGGGACGGTGTGCGGAATTCATTCGGCGGGGATGAGGAAGTTTGGGTTGGCAAACCATGTCTCTCCTGTACCCTATGGGAAAACATGGGAAAACCATGGGAAAACTATGGGAATTTTCACTATAAAATGGCAAACTATGGGAAAACTCACTATAAATGGCAATTTTCAATAGCTATGTTAGTCATTACCAGAGGGTATCTTTCTTTTCAAACAGAGGCAACTTGGATAGACTCGTCAGGGCCATTCGCATGGCGCAGCAAACGCATCTCAGGACGCAGGTCGAAATTATGAGAAGAGGTACTGCCATTGGCCCCCAAATCACTGAGCGACAGTTTATTCATGTTGTTTAACATAATCCCTGACCCTTTTCATCCCCCAAATCCCAAAAAAATGCCAGGAAGATTTTACCGGAAACCACCCAAAAATACCATGGTGTCTACTGTTTTTTCCCATGGTTTCTGGTCGACGCCCCAGGCTGGAGATCCTTACATCACTCCGGATGCCACGGCAGGGAGTCCCGCTTAGAATCCATGGCGTCGAGTTGTCAAGTGATTTTATGGGAAAGGTAGGGAAAGGTATGAGTTGGTTGTCCACAATATACTCATAGAATCTCATAGATGAGAGTTGATGATAGATGTCATTAAGTATATTATATCCCCAATTAATGATTATTTGATGATAGATATACTATAATTCTAATACACGGATGTGTGCCTTTTACCCAAATGATATTTGGATTGTTGGACCTCCATTCGCTAGACCCTCTCATCGGCAGAGTACCAGGGTGATTTGATGGGGATTATGGGGATTCCTGGCTCTGGAAATGGGTGATGCTTTGGGTGCCACATATTCTGTAGATTTCTACAAGGTGGTGCCCCCAAGATAGCTAAGTTGCTTTAAGTTGGTAAACGCTCCAATAGCTAGGCTTTATGGTAGATATTATATCTACTTAACAGGGTTATAACCCAACAATCATACAGTAACTGGCAGCAACATTTTCTATAATCCCACATGTGACATGTGTTGGTTTCACCCGTGTTTTCCCAAATCCATCGGATTAGAATCATGATGGGATCATATGGGTTTCCATAAATAGGGTAACCCCAAATGGACGGTTTATAATGGACAATATGGACATAGCAAACTTCCATATTGTAGATATTAGTCTTAATTTTCCCTATTGAAATCACCATTTTTCGGGTACGATGTACCAATATGTACGACACCATTTCCACACCCCGCTTCCCGGCTTCCGGCAGCCTTCGGATGCCTTCGGCCTGGCTCCAGGTGTCCTCTAAACGGATCAATATCCCCACCACTCGCCGGGGAGCCTGGTGCAGGGCAGAGATGAAAGGTGTAGAGCAACACGGAGATTTTGATGGACATTTACTGGGAATTTTGATGGTTTGTAATGGAATGTTCATGGTTTTTAATTGGATTTTGATGGTTTTGTTTAATTTTAGTGGGAATTAACCAATAAATATGGTGATAATCGATGTGGATGAATTTGATCATGACCTCACTGTTTTCTGTCACTGGAATGATGATTAGGATTCGGGGAATTACCCCCAGATGGCCAAACTTTTCAGCTATTTTAAGGTGAATTATTGCAATTCAGCCATAATGATATTGATGTCATCATTATTAATTTATTTACAATATAGCACTATACATACTTATTGCCATAGCCAGATATTTGTCGCTTCTCAGAACTGGTTGATGGTTCTACACTTGTCTATTTTCCATAGTATAGTGCTTACATTTTTCATCATTTTTCTATTAATTATACATAAATAATATCCATATGAATATGTTATATATATATGTATATAATATGTGTCCCATTCATATTCCCGCAAATGCCAGCAAATTACCATGAGATCCCATTCAATTTACAATGAACTCCCCTGAAATCACCACTCTTTTGCAGGCAACGACCTCTTTGGAATGGCGTTTGGCAGTACCACCACCTACAGTGCTCCTGGCTGCACAGGGTTCACCAACCTTACTGTAAGCCATCCAACATGGGCGGTTTTTGACCCACCAAACATAATACAAAATCGGGATAACATGGGTATAGAAATAAGAATACACATCTGGTAGGTGGTTTGGAACCTTTTTTATTTTCCATTTCATACATGGGGATAATCCTTTTGACTAATATGTTTCAAGATGGTTAAAACCACCAACCAGATATGAACTATTGTGGAATTCAGGTTTCTGTTGGTTTATATCTGGGGGATTGCTATAGGATTTATGGTGGATGTTTCTATGTACGGCTGAATGTTGTCCTCACAACTTTTCGAACTTGGAGGGTCCACTTGTGGCTGGTTAAAGGTCATCTGGTTCAGAATGGATTATGGATTGGCAGAGGGCTCTCTCCGATACAAGGTCACCAAGAAACAAATGGGCTTACTGAACAAAGCATGGTGCTACAGATGATCTAAGTGAATTTACAATCGGACTGGGCTACATTCCAAGAGTATATCCTGAGATATCAGTTGATTGCCTGCTACCTGATATATATGCCAGATATGCCATGCTAGGGGAACGGCGTGTGATATCCAAGAATCTAAACCTGGATCAGTCAGCTGAAGCATCTGAGCTGTGGGTTTGAATTCAAAAAACACCTTAGGTCGAATAAACCCATGAACCTGTTGCATCAAGAACTGTTCCGGATTGACTCTAAACTGGAGTTTAATTACTATTAGACTATTAGATTATTAGATATTAGACTATGATTTAGACTATTAAACTAAACTGGAGTTTAATTACTATTAGACTATTAGATCATAATAATCAGTGGAGATAGCAATCTCCCTCTGACATTTGATAGGAAGATCACTGCAGGATGTGGGATGTAACTCACATGGACAATCATTTGGGTCCTACGGCTGCATGGTTTTAGTCACATTTAAATCCCTCTTTTTCGTTGAACAAATCAAACAATTTGATAGTGCCACTCTGTGACTCACATCATGGATGGGAAGATATACCATGCATATCCACCACTGCAATGGACCATCATTTCCATCATTTCCATCATTTCCCATCCATGAATTATCTCAAGAAATCTGCTGTTTTCATTTGTTTTCCATCTCAAAAATTATCCATTCATTTTTTCCTATGCGATCTATTCATGTCAGTAGTCTCCTGCCGGTTCACTCCCACGCCTCAGATGCCCGGACAGTGGCGGCCTGCTATTGCCCGGATAGGTGCGGCGCCGCACACATCCCAAGCTGGGCTGATTTCATGTGGGATCCACCCAATGCCATAGTCACCATCCTCATTGCATCACCATTCTTATGGGTTATACAGTATACACCATCCCCTTATGGCACTAGGTGGATCTTACATTATTGTGTTGTTTTCTGAATCAAAGTTGAGGCTCCTTAACGGTGCCCTGAAAGGCCACAGTTGGTGAAACAGTTTTTGGGTAACCAGGAGCTGGTCACTTGGTGGGTACATATCATGACATATTTGCAGAGGTCCACCATGTTTATAAGTTGGGATTTAAATCTATAGTTCGTGTGATTCATGTTGTTTTATTTAAACCCCAAGGCATTCCCGAGGCTAGTTGCTGAACAGGTACGTTGATTGTCGCATGTTGATTGCATGATTAGTATTATAAGCAAATTTGACTATATACTGTTCACCAAATTTGTTTTGAACCTCTGATATGGGTACGGAAAAAACAAACACCACGTGTTTTTCCATGATTTGGTGGGTTACCAGCTATGCTATGAAAACCCGAGGGATTCCATATGGGTTTTGATCGCCTCCCTGAGAAGCTGAAAGATACGCCAGGGCATCCTGGTTTTTTAGTCCCCGTTTTTCCCATATACCCGGCCTGGTAAACGTTTACATAACTATGGAAAATCACCATTTTTAATGGGAAAACTCACTATAAATGGCCATTTTCAATAGCTATGTTAAATTACCAGAGGGTATTCTTTGTCCCTGTGGAACAGCAATCTTTAGTGATGTTGTCACCATTATCGAATATTATTGGACATGATTTGGTACTTTCCGTTTGCAATTATGATCCCTTGTGTCACCCTTTCTGTTGTTTTCCATGTAATGTTTTTCACTTGTCTCCCACCAGGACCATGATCTCATGCCAGGAATGGATGTACCAACACGGTGGATTTTATTCAACAGGCCATCCGAAGACTGTGAATCTGTTTAGAAACCGCAAAGCTTGGAGGAGACCTAACCATCAACAAATGGTGATTTATGGCGATTTAATGAGATTGAATGGGAACAGCATGGGGATTTACTGGGATATAACTATAGTGGTAGATCATGGTCGATTTATTACCCTCCCCAAAATTCACATTCCAACCTTGCCATTGAGTCGGGCTTCCGAAGATTCATATATTTATATTTTTTAATACAGGAATTTAGGGATAAAACTATTATACTGGAAACAAGTAACTATCCATGATATGGTTTCACATGGTGTCACTACCACAATGGTATAGATAGAGCTAAAACTATTGTACTGGAGTTAGTGGTGCAAACATGTTGCTGACTTTAGACCATATTAGTGATGCTATGAGCATATTTTTTTTGGACGGCTTCAAACATGTTCAAATGTTCAATCTACCAATCGGATGTTACTGTATGGCAGTGTATGGGTTAAAACATCGCTACCTCGATGTTTGGAAAAGTTCATCCCCATATGCAACAGGTTTTTTGATGCAGTTTGAAACCATTGATCAGGTTTTTTGGTGGCTAATATACTGGGTCATCCCCAAAAGTTTGTCCAGCCGCCATTCCCAGAGGGCAGCTATCATTTCGCTCCAAGAGAATCCAGTCGTACTTCCAAATATTGGTTAAAAAGTTAAAAACCATTGTCCTTAGAAAACTGAGCTTTGTAAGCTTCACTTGGAAGCTGTCCCCCACGGCCACGTTCAGATTGGCATCCTTCATTTCTATTTGAGCAAGGCAAGATGCTGTGGCTGCGACCTTGCGAGAAATTCTTGGGATCTCCTGGCAATTTACTCCTGCAGGATTGAAGGCTTAAGTCAGGCCCAAGACAATTTATGAAGATCTAAGACTGAACATATCGGAGATATTTTATTCTACAAACTTCAAACTCTTTTTTCGTGATGAGTCACCATATGAGTTGCTGCAGTTCAGAATTATTCGCCACCATCGGAGGAGTCAAGAGATTTTCCTTGGGTCAAGAGTAAGAATTGCCGACCACTTCTGTGGTCACCACATCACTTCCATGCAAAGTGGGGCCCCCAAGATAGCTAAGTTGGTTTATAACTCCAATAACTATGGTTTGTGGTACTTATAACTATAGTTAATGGGGTTTATAAACCAACTTATAACTGGGGGGCCCCACATTGTGTTTGTTCTGGTTTGTAGTGTCAAAATTTGACCTTTGCATCACTGCAAGCTGGTGAATCCAAGATGACTTTCACGACTTGGATTTCTTCAATCCACTAACTAGATCACATTTGTTGAAAGAATTGTTGGTTGTATAAGTTGTATATCGTTGTTGCAGCTATACAGATATTTCATGATATTTCAGTGTCAGTTGACATGTGTTGACTCGGTACAACCGCTGTACCATGAATTGTTGCCTTGCATCAGCCAGGTTGAATAAGACCCGTTTTCCCGCGCAGGTCTGTCATGCGGGCAATGCGGCCTGCACAGAAGATTTCACGGGCGTGACCGGACAGTGCGCCAAGGAATGGATGGATTGAAGCAAGGACAAGTGATGATCCAAACAAAAAGGAACATGGCAAGAATTGCAACTGTGAGGATGTGACCAGGAATCATGTTTTCTTGGAGAGTATATTTGGATAGTGTAGCAATGTAATGTATAGTATTGATACCCTCTGGTAATTTAACGTAGCTATTGAAAATGGCCATTTATAGTGAGTTTTCCCATTAAAAATGCTGATTTTCCATAGCTATGTTAGTTTACCAGAGGGTAATGTATAGTATGGATATGTTTTGATCATCATCGCATATGGCAGGTATCGTTTTCGAATTCGCGTGGAGTGCCCCAGCGACGCGTGCATGTTGAATGATCAAAACCGTCAGGAGACCCAGAGGACCCAGATTGAATGATCTGGGGCCTTATTTAGGGCCGGTGGTGTTCCAATAACTAGGCTTTATGATACTCTGAGTTGTTAAAGTTGAACGATTTCAATGAAATGAGCGTCCCAGCTGCGCGCACGCAACTTCTAAAGTTGACCAATGTTGCGTCCAGCTTGTGTCTAGCAAGTTAGTTTTTTTCAGTTTTTGACTTTTTCGTGGGTTTTGCATTGCCAGCGACTTTGTGTGACTTCGTATTTAGGTTGTGTCTATACCATGTGTTCATGATCGCATGAAAGGACAATGAAAGGAAATGAGAGGAAATGAGAGGAAATGAGATTTACCCATTAAAAATGGTGATTTTCCATAGTTACGTTAGTTTACCAGAGGGTAACCGTGTCCCTACAGAATCCAACAGGTAAAAGCAGCTTTTCTTGTGATCACTTGCAATCTACATGTGGTGAATCACTGGCGTCCCAATATGTCATGATTGTTTTTTGTTGTATTTAATACCACTTTGAAGATGTTTTGGGAGTTGCGTCCACAAGGTGTTTCCTCATCTTTCACACAGCAAAACTTGCCAAAACAGAGTTTGTCGTACATCGGCGTCCCATTGGGGTTGACCTTGCTTTTGGTCAACTTATTTGACTTCCTGATCCAACGGCGTCCCAATGAGATTTGACACAATTCTGTTAAATTGGTCGACTTTAACGGTTCGGAGTAGATAGATCATGATAGATCTCTAGTTACATAATGAATGTTAATGCGATTACAGACTTATAGCATATATTATAACTGGGAGACCACATGGTGATCTCGAAAACGAAAACGGACATGGGAAAGTGAGCAGAATTGTTGCTGAACGCTGGACATCTACCGGAATCGATCGACTCTTGAAGTTGCCTAAAAGTTGCTATGGTTGCCAGTTGGTTCTGTAGATCATTATGGATTCATTATGGATTCATTATGGATTCATTATAGATGAGGGTCAGAACTATGGATAAAATTTCATATGGTCCCAAAATGCCACATATCACAGCAGCTGAGCTATGAAGGGTAGCCGCTAGGCCGCTGGGTCCTCATCATTGGAAAATCCTGGGTTTTTACCTTCAAATCAAACAGAGCAATGGACATGGAAATACTATGAAATACTCTTCCGATAGCAGCAACAACTGGGTATCGGAGACCTCTCTCGCACCAACTGTCAGGCCATTGCCAGGCCATTGCGCAGAGGATTTGGGGATTCACATGGATTCACCAGAGGATTCAGCATCATTTGGTGCGCTCAGGTGTCAAACTCGTGGAAAAGACCCTCTCGAATGACTTACCTTCCTGGGATAGCGGCAATGGTTGCCGTGTGCCTTGGCGATATTTAAGGCGATGTTTGGCGACCGGGCCTAAGGTCCGGTCCAGGTGATGAAAAAAGATCAAACATGTGGGGAATGGATACCTACCCATACCTAGCCTAAAACTGAGATAATCTAAGTAGATCTATGGAAATCTATGGGGAAACTCAAGAAATATGATCTATAATCATATGATTCATGGTGGATTTTCCGTATTGATGTTAGTTTACTGGAGGGTACCAGACTTTTGGATACTTATCGTTTGAGTTTTGCCCTATTTTGACCCATACTGAGAGCTTTGTCAGATTGCTTCAGTGCTTCAACACGGTGCCTGAGCGAAACAACTTCATGTTTCATTGTCAAACCATGGTTCTTTGGATGTACAGGTTGGTTGAAGGTGGCACCTTGAAACTTTTTAGTAGATGTGCTTGATGTGCCGCTGTGCCATATGTTTGCCTATGTATTGTTTTCTTCACGTTTTTTTTTTCCGACAAAACCACATCCAATCGTTCATCGATTCCTCCCCTGCCATTCACTCTGAGACCGGCTTGCACGGAAACATCAATGGTCTAGAGGTGCCGGGCAGAAGTTACAACTGGGCTGACAAGCCAATGAGCCAGCTGTGGCTCTTTGTGATGGTCAAATATAGTCAAATGAAATCTGAAATATCCCATTCAAATTTAAATATATAGTCTCAAATATAGTCAAATGGTCAGATATAGTCAAATATAGTCAATCATGTCATATCCATTCATATCCCCATTTTCAGAGGTTACCTACACCATTCGTCACAACATTCGTCGAGGATGATTCCGAAAATCAGCAAATGAATCTATAATTGATCTGCTATACCCCCAAACTATCCCAAACTGGCCAAACTATATCTCATGTCTGTCGTCAATGGCCATTTTCAGCGACCTAAATTGGAGGTGCGTCAGGTCTGGGCCTCAAATCTGACCATCTGCCGATCAGGTCCTACCAACGACCCAGTATGTCCCCATCGACGGTTCGCCAACGGGCGTGCTGAACGAGCTCAACTGTGACATGGCACTACTTGGACCAAGGAATTTGGAGAGTTTACTGAGCTCTGCTTAACAAAGTCCAATAGTACCAGCACATGGATTGGATGGGCATGACAGAAATCTATCATGGACTATTAGACCATCTTAAGTCCACCCCAGTTTAACTTGAAAATATGTGGGTTTCACATGATTTCACTTTATATTTCACTGGCCAAAACATGGATGTAACTTAAGCAAAGCTTGGGAAATTCAGCACCAAACATACGGTAACGACATTTAAATATGTGGAGGGCAGGCCAGACCGCGAGGCCCCGGAGGTAGTATCAAATACCAGTTCGTATATTTAAATGTAGTTACCGTAGGGTTTTGGGCAGCAATGCGGACAAACCATTTTTAGTGGCAATAGGGACAAAGAACTCAGCCTTGGATACCTTTGGATAGAAGATCAGCTGTTCGATTTGTTTGAACATTGTGGGTGGGTAACATATTGATTCTTGTCGGTTACATATCATAAAAGCTATTTCTATATAAGTTATTATATTTATTACCCACGTCATACCAAGTAAGTTATATGTTTAGCCTTAAATAGCCTTAAGCTAGGTCATTATATACAAAAAAAATTACTACTTAAGGTTATTCCATCCTTGGGTGGGAAACTGCCTATTTTGATGGGTCAAAGCTATCTCCAACAGGGGCTCGCAGCGTCAGGTGATCAGGGCTCGCCGGTGGGGTGTCGACTGAGTGGAGGGACGCGGCAAGACTACAAGGCGAGTCCATGGGTGACACGGATTTTTCGCCATGAAACTTGGGGATTTAACATGAGACAGTCCAAATCTTGGGAGTGAAGATCATTTAAGATGATTTTAACATGATTTGACAGTCCGAATGTTGGGAGTCAAGATTATAAGATGGTTTGAGCAGAATGAGGTTGAGTTGGATTGCAATATTAGCTAAATTTTTGTGTACGTTGATTTGACAGGATTTAACTCGCAAGAGTAAGAATGTGACCATCAAAGATGAAGATGTCATTTTCAAACATGTTTGTTTTTCCCCTTTGAACAAACATATGAAAAGACTTGATGTGTTCGTCCTTCAATGTCTGTGTAAGGCTTGGTATTTTTTTGGACATTTGCCACTTTCTGTAGGAAACTTATGAAAAGGGCCATGTTAAGAGATGATTTCCCTACGCTGCCCACCTTTGGATTCCTGCGGCCTGGCAGACCTTTGGTGGGACTTATGGTTTTCGTTTCATCCTGGGTTCGAGCGACCACGAGGCAGTGGAGAGTGATTGGTGAATTTCTTGTGAGACTAACTGGCTAAAAGGGGGATTATGAAGAAATCATAACTAACCCATAGTACGGATTGATGCTTATTGATGCTTATTGATGCTTTTTGATGCTTATTGATGATTATTGGGGATTGTGAACTAACCCACAATAGCATATAGTAGCCGTATGGAAAGCGTTTGACTACGCAGTCAAGGTGAGAGATGGCTACCATTTGACCCAACGTGCCAGGCACGTGGGTTTCACACCTCCAAAGAGGTTGATGTTTGTTACTGCAATGGCGACTGCAATGTCCGGCGGCCTATGGACCAAGTGAGAGAGTCTCCGACAGGGCGCAAGATGTCCCGGTGCTAATGTTGGCTTATTATGATGGGTTTATTATTCTTTTTTTGGTATGTAAAAGAAGAAAGGAGTTCCAACCTTGACTTTCAAAAATATGGGAGAGATATACAGTTTTTTTTGCTAAACAATGATGGTGATATGGGACCTCAGACTGTCATGGAGATAAGACATGCGGGAATATCAAGAACACTTGAGAATAAACATCAGAGTCGTCAGACTCTGAAGTTGATGGACTTGGGCCAAACTGTTATGTAAAATATCTCAAGGCATCTTCGCTGCCGTGCTATATGGGGCAATATTGCAGGGATAGATTCCAAGAAAAAATATGTGACTTTCAAAAAAATGCAAGACATGAGTTAGGGAACATTCTCTTCGCTACATCCCAAATGTCCTAAATCAAGTTAAATCATATTACCCTCTGGTGAACTAACATAGCAATGGAAAATCACCATTCTTAATGGGAAAATCCACTATAAATAGCCATTTTCCATTGCTATGTTAGTTCACCAGAGGGTAATTCATATTTAATGACCATATTCCACCATGAAATCCGTGCTGTTTGGTAGCGCATCCCACTTCCCTCAGCCCTGGTGGCTTCAGCGCCACGCTTTTGCGCGCCCTTTGCGCTCCGCCGAGACCGGCTCCAACTGGTTCAAAGTGGGCAGCATGCGAGTCAGTTGGGACCCAAAAAATCCAGGATGGGGGGATATTTGAGGTATACCCTCTGGTGAACTAACATAGCAATGGAAAATGGCTATTTATAGTGGATTTTCCCATTAAGAATGGTGATTTTCCATTGCTATGTTAGTTCACCAGAGGGTATTTCATTTCATTCATTTGATAATTTTATATGTTTTTATGTGATTCAATGGATTTGTTTGGTATTGGGATTTGACGGGAATGATTTCACCAGCAAAAACGGCGATTTGATGATGAGTTAATGGGTTTATAACTGCTACCCGCTGGTAATCTAACAGTTTGCGGTGCAAAAGCACCATGTTGCACAGGGAAATCATCTACAAACAAGCCATTTTCCATGGCTAATATGTGTTACAGTAGATGACCAGAGGGTATGTTTGTGACATTCATCTTTAGGACATAATTCCCGCAAGAGTGGAACGGTGACAAGTATTGAGACAACTACATACTGTACTGACAAGTCCTGAATGTCTAATTTCACCATCAAGTTGACAAGTCCTTGATGTTGGATTCTTCAACTGACAAGTTCTTGATGCTGGTTTTTGCAAGTCGCTGATGTTGTTTGTTTCAAGTTTCAACATTTTTCAACATCTTTTCAACGTTTTCGTCCTGATGTCAGGCCCTACCCGGCTGGTCAGTGCTGCGACATCCAGGCCAGGACATGGAGGTTTTTGGGGTTTTCATCATCAAAACATGTCAAAATGGATGACATTTGGAGGGCTTTTGGCTTTTGGATGTTCTTTAGTGAGCACAGAAAATCTAGGACCTAGGACTGAGCGAACTGACTGACCACCCTTATCCGCAAGGATTTTCTTAGGATTGCAGGAATCATCCAAACAATGTGACCATTATGCCATTGCTATCCAGTGGTTAGGAGGGAGCCAAGGAGCTGGGAGTATATGTTCCCTATGAAATGGGGAGCCAAGGAGCGACATCCTTGAGTTCCCCAGCCACATTGTAGATTATGATTATGACCTTATGGTTTGAGTTGTGTACTACCCCAAATTCATGCCATTGAAGCAACCAATGGTTGGTATAGGTTGGTATCATATGAGCTGGAAAAGCAGTGACTGGTTGGCCAACGGCTTAATTTTCAACATGTTTTTTCATTCATGATTAATTCTGTCATATAACGCTATACAACAATGATTTTCTTTGGTTGTGTTCCCCAATTGAGCCATTCAAAATCACCTGGTGGATTGGTTATAGGGATTGGTAGGGACTTATACATCTTATACTACCCAATTTACATCAATTTACTGGGGATTATGATAGCATCTGACCATAGGATGACAAACGACAGCGGCCGCAGATCGGAGCTGCCGGCGCAGTGGAGCGTGGAATTCGTGAACCAACCAGGGATCATTGGGTCCGACGACTCGGAAAGCCCTGGAATCATGGTTAATAAGGGAAGTCATCCCCAAATGGCCGAACTATTCAGGTTAGTGAAATATGATAATTTACCCAGATTAAATGGTAACTTTCCAACATCATCCCACATCTAATTTCCACATATTTCCACATCTACAGGAGGGTGAGTCATGTAAACTTGTTAGCAACTGGATTACAACTCATTGGGTAAACCCGAGATGACCTGGCCCGCTGGCTTAGTCACCCCTTGATGGTGACTGGGTCAAGGTTGGATGGGATTTTCTCGTAGAATCTGAATATGCCAATGCTAATACACACTATTGACTATAATGATATGGTATATTAAGTTTAGCATTAGTTAACATTGGATACTAATGATATTAGTTATTGGCTAACATGTAATGATACATGGTATATTTTGATATGGTATAACTCACATAACATCTAAGAACTAATCTCATTCCATCGATATGGTACAACTAATCACAACAAGAAAATTGTATCCATTTCCACTACGACTTTAACGGAGCTAAACTTTCATTTTCTTCCTTGAACGGAAATAGATTGAGGAACTTACGAATAGTAATGGACTGACCAGCAAAGGATCTTAGATCGGCCACGGTGAGTTAGTTTTTCTGGAAAAGGCTGGGGGCAAACTTGTAAGGATTATGAGGTAATCCAACATGCTTCATTTTTTGTAAGGTCATGAATGTCATGAGATGTCATCCGTAAGATGTACATACGTTTTTTCAGTTTTGAGGGTACCAACTTACAATCTACTGTACGCCAAAGTGGAAGTTGTAACAACTGTCCTAAAGACAAAGGCTGGATGATCATGTGGGATCCACGTTGTGCCATGTAGGTGTATGATGGTGTATGCACAATGATAATGATACACCAATGGGTGTGTCGGTTGGCGCCCCTTAAATGGCAAGTTTTTCATGGGGATGATGATTAATCAATGGAATGGGGCCTGGGGTGTTCTCCTAAATTGTCAGACACACCACAAATATTGGATGATATTGGATGGTTTTGTCATTGTAGATCCCCCACTACAATCCTACCAATTTCATCGTGAAGATGAAAACCCATGGAATTTTTTGTGCCTCCCTTGTGGTTTGAAAGAACGAAGGGGATTGGGGAAGTTACAGTAGGCAAGATACATCAAGATACAAAATAGAAATAAATAGAATATATTCTTACAATTCCTTACACTTGACGCTTAGGTTTCATTCACGTGTTTTTTACCATCTCTGTTTGGTATGAGAAAAGAACTCAACTCTAACATACTCATTCATCATGTATTTTGGGACTGTAGAACCCAAACACAACCACCAATCCCATCCGGATTTATCTGAAAATTGGGTAGCCCCATATCCAAATGTTTTTAGGAAGTACCCTCTGGTGGATTTTCCCATTAAAAATGGTGATTTTCCATAGTTATGTAAACGTTTACCAGAGGGTATCCCCCATTTTCAGAGACATGAACTCACGTAATCTGTGAAACAGGCGTGAGATATTGAATCCTCAACTCACCGGCCGCATCTGTGAGGCTTCATCGGCCCTATGCAGATGGAGGTGTCCTAGGTTTACAGGCTGGGATCAACGACCTGGCTAGGGAAGTCAGATGATGGGATCACATTTTTCTTCCAAAAAACGGGAAGACATAACTGGATGTGCTGGAAATGGGGTATGCCATGGTACACCCCTAGTTATGGCCATTTTTTGTAGGGAAAATGATGAGTGACCATGAAACTCTGGTTTCCTTTCAACCCCAAATCAGACACACGTCTGAAAGCTTGATACCAGGGATGGAACATTTGGTTGGTTGATAGATGATGGATGATCCTGGCACTTGAAATCCTCATTGGCAGTACGTGCAGTTCCAGTTCCAAGGAAGAAATCGCTAGCGATTGCTGCCGGAGTGATATCCCAACTGATGTCGACGAAATTTCTATTTCACCGTGTTTATACCCCTAGCATTCCAGTTGTTCCAGTGAAATCCCCATTTCCCCTTGACTATATCCATTTTTTAGTGAAATCTCCCATTTTCCACGGCTAGATCCCACCAGTTACCAACCAATTTCGCCCTCAAGTACTCAACCAGTGGCTTGACCATATGATGACCGCTGCCCTTGGGGGTCTCCTGGTTCCCGGCAAATCTACTGTAGCTACTACCCCATGCCCTACATATCCCTACATCATATGCATATATTCATATATATATATATATACGTATATACATGTAATATGTGAATCTTATTGTATGTTATTTCTGTTATATCGAAATCATGCACTCTGCAAGACCCCTGGTTGATGAGTTACCTATCGGAATGATTCCATGGGATCCCCTGCAGGAGAACAGCCTCTTGAAGTTGGTTCCAGACAAGGACAAAACGGCAACATTTGCCATGACATCATGATCCATGGTCAAGTCCTCCAAAGTCAACTACCTCACTGGCTAAAAAAGTGGTTGACCATTTTCCCCATGATATCTAGTGGCTATGTGCATCACATTGTATCACTGTTTCTTCTTGTCGGATACACATCCATTCTTTGTCCGTTGCATTGGGTCTATTGTTGCACCGCTTTCGTACCTGGATAGCAGGAGAAGCAAATTGGCGACGATGGCTGTGCTCTTTCTGGCTACAACAGCCAGCATGGGCAGCCCAGATTGTGCCACCAGAAATCCTATGGTTTTACAGCTTATCTCCAGAAAATCAGGGGTCTACCCATCAAGCTGAGGGAGAAAAACCAACAACTCATGGGAATGTAATGGGATATCTTGGGAAACCTTGGATGGGTAGCTCAGTAAAACCTAATCCTTGGGGGATTTATCGCTGCGCAGCTTCCAAGATGATTGTTCTGCAGGATATCCACGACCAAAATTCAACCCCAAAATGGATGGTCAAAATAGATCAAAATAGTATAAAATAGTAAGAATTTGGCCAACTCACACAGACCTCACTCCGGAGAGCAAGATTTGACCTACGTACACGGAAAAATTCCGTCAATGAATAAAGTCGGTGGGGTTCGTCCTGACAAATCGACCAATTTCTCCCAAAAACCATGACTTCTGTAATTAATCCATTTACCTTTCAGTAAACGAAAATAGCCATGGACAATGGTCATGTGCAACAGGTAAATTATCATAACTTATGTACAGATGGGTGATTGTCCATGGCTACGTTGAATACTAGGGGGTACAGTGGTTCCCCAGCAAATAATTGAACCAACAACACAATAATTCATCATCAATGGTGCACTTGGTCTGCCTTTCTCTTTTCGTGTCTTGCGTTTCCTTCGCGTAGCAACGGCCGAGGTTTTCCCAGGGCCTTTCAAGCGAAGTCGCTGCCTCAACAAACTACTTGGGTGCGGCGCCCAGCATGGTAGGGGTGACACTCTCTTGGTGCAAGCAGCTACAGGGCTTGGTAAATGTCCCGTAAATTGGGGGTTTTGCACATCACATTTAAGATCATTTAAGTATTCGTTAGAGATTATATCCCCAATCATTAGTTGCGTGGTATGAAAAAGGACATGTACCAACCCCTGCTACATACTGCTATACTACACCTTGGTTTGGAATTTGTCTGGCAATCATGGCTTAGGCCATAGCTGCCCCTTCCGTAGTAATTCACGAGCGGTTCAGCCCCATCAACTTTTTTCCCTGGTTAAAATCAAGAAAATACACTTAAGATACGTCAACAGAACTTACATATTATGCAATTTTATGTACATACATGTATGCGAAATGTAGTATACGACGTACATAGTCACTTCGTTGAACATCATTTGGTAGTCGCTGGAGAAAGATCACATTCGATCAAGCAAATCTGCGCACTGAAACCTGTGAGGCAAACTGCAGACACAGACACCTCCAGATTTGCAGAAGGTTGTCTTCAACACCAACTCTTTTGCCCGGCACCGAAGGGATCCGAAGGGCAGGGTGGAGGCCCTTGGGGTCCAATCATCCCAGGCGTTTGGCCCAGAGGGATTCTATTTATGGATGTCCTCTACAGGAAATGAACATATTATATCGGACGAGATATAGTTTATTATTGTCAATGAATATTCGTGATATTTGTGTATATATATATATTGTTAATTATGATTACATGGACAATAAGCGTGACACTTGAATTTGATATATATATATATTATGTATATTATATGTATAATATATATATATTATACATTGATGTCACCTGAGTCAACTGTTTCATGGCGGTGTTGACTGTAATTGCCGCCGCCCAGGTCAACACAATTACAGTGACCGAGGCACAATCCGCAGGTAAATCAGTGGACCCTGATACCATGGGCCGCTTCCATCAATCACTGCTTGGTGCTTTGGAACATGAATGGAATATTGGTGGGATTATCTTCCCATTATTGGTGGGATTATATTGTTAATTGATAATATTCCCATTATCCAAATGATATATAAAATGGATTATATTATGGATTAATCATATTCCAAATGGATATGGGATATTTGGCAATGATATATTGGTGGTTTGGAACATGAATTTTATTTTTGTCCATTCAGTGGAGAATGTCATCATCCCAACTGACGAACTCATATTTTTCAGAGGGGTAGGTATACCACCAACCAGAATCTATCTACTCTTTCTTAGTCTATGTAGTGTTTTTTAACGGAGAACCGCTGTGCTGATGCCCCAGGTCTAGAATCTGCCATGCTCAACCGTCAATTGGTCATTTTAAGTATGCTGCACTATGAGGCAGATTTATAGGGTCAAACTAGATGTTCATATTCCAATTTTGCCCATATGATCTTCCGCACACTGGATTTAGGGAAGTCGTGAACATCAAGTTTCTAAGTTTCCCATCTTGGGATGAAATATGGAGGGTAAACCATGGTAGATCCTTCAAGATTTCCCATCCCTCGACCCACCGCAGCTTCCCAGGCGGGCACGTTGGCTGTGTGCTACTGCGCCGTCACGGTGGACAGTACGTCCGGGCCACCGGGCCATCAGAGATCCGGCAGTTTCACAACGGATGTCACAGATTTTGATGAAACAAATCTCCGCAAAACCATGGTGTTTCCCAGTAAACAAACCATGGGATTTTCCGGTTGATTTTCCCTTTCCCCAATAATTTGACCGGTTGAATGGTGAGCAAAAGACCCAACTACCATGGGGATTGGTCAGATATTGGATTTTTGTTGGGTGAGACATCATGAAGCATCACTTTTGGTGGTCAAACACTGTATGTTTCTTGGTTTTGTTTGATGGTGCACTTCCCAAAGGTCAGTATTAGGTCAGTATTTCCATATGGGGGTTTCCTAAAATGGGGATACATGGGGATACCCCAATAGCTGGATGGCTTATCATGGAACATCCGAAACAAACATGGATGACAACTGGGGTATCCAAACCTCCATAAATAGTGTTCCCCATCTTTAGGGGCGGTGGTTCTCAATCTTTTGGTGCTTCTCGAGGCCATTGCTATTCCTCAGATCCCATGATGATCATGCAGGCTCTACTCGATCAACGGTCACAGAATAAGTTATTTGTTTGACAATCATCGACAATCCCATATGCTCCATGTATGGTATATTTACCTACATTTGGGTGATTTTTAGGGTAAATGTTGGTAAATATTCCATACATGGAGCATATGAGAATATTTGAACATGTTTGTCAGATATGATATGCTGTACTGCGTGTATTTTCCAATTGCAGCTTTCCTAGGCATTCTTGGTTGTTTGCCAGTTCGTGAGTTCATTTCCATCGTGTTTAATTGCTGGTTTACTAAATGCCTCTCCTGTAGCATGTTGGTCCATGAAACTCCTGTCAAATAGACATATGCTTCCGTAGACTTTGATGATTTGATTGGCTCTCCCCTATCCCATAGGATCCATGTATGCTATATATGGTAACATTTACCATCAATATACCCCCAATGTTAGCATATATACCATACATGGATCCTATGGGTATTGCGGATTTCTAAGGGCACCCGGAACCGGCCCGGAACGCCAACGAATCCAACGAATCGAAACGCAGATTCGGACCGCACCTTGAGGTGTCCGGTGCCATCGAATTGGAAGTTGGTGACACATCTCACAGTGAAGGGTCCGCAGGCGCGACATCGCAATTTTCCCGTGGAAGGGGATGGTGAGACCTACCCTCTGGTTATGTCAAAATAGCTATTGGAAATGGCCATTGAAATAGTGGATTTTCCCATGAAAAATGGTGATTTTCCATAGCTATGTTAGTTTACCAGAGGGTACATTTTCTGGCTGGAAAGTCCTGGATCTAAATAGAGGTAAACATGGCTGGCAGATGCTGGCAGTATCAGGCATTCCCATTCTCTATCCATCTCGTCAGATCAATCAGCGCTGGACCTTCTCCACGAACGTGGTCTTTCGCTTCAGTTACGAGGGCTATGGGCTCACCTCAGGCGAGACATCAGGAAAGGTGGGATGTCAAGGACAGAAATTGCTGGAGAATACATGTGCACTTAGGATCACTATCTATATCTATATTATCTGTATCTAATTAGTTGTATCTATGTATATATATATATACACATACACATACCAACATGTACATGTAATAGTGTTATTATCATTATCTAGTCTTACATGTTGATATATAATGATATATATATAATATGTACATATACAGACTACAGTATATAATAATTGATCTGATAAATGCTGGGTAACGTAAAGTTGGAAGGTGAAAGGTGGGTTTTCATGGCTGAATGCGTGGACATTTTGATGGAGCAATAATGGATATTCAGCTAAAATTCAGCACGTGTTTATTCGTTTCCATGGATAGCCATGGGATGGATTTCCTCTCATCTCAATGAGAATTCCAGGATCCTAAAATGGAGGTACTGTACCATATAAGGCCATATTTTGTGGGGATATTCCCTTACAAGGCCTTATATACGTAGGCCTTATATATGGTAGGTACCTCCAATCAATCGGTTCCTGAAATGGCCATTGATCATATGGCTGGATCATTGATGAATGGTTGTAGGATGCTGCTTTAAATGTCAGGATATGATCAATCCATACAGTATCAATCCAGTGTTTGGTTGTTGTGACCCAAACCAATACTGGTTGGTGATGTGGAACATTCTTTATTTATATATATATATATTGGGAATTTCATCATCCCAACTGACGAACTCCAGCATTTTTCAGAGGGGTAGGTATACCACCAACCAGAATACATATGCAACATGTCTAATTTACCATATGTTTGGCACCTTAAACAATGTCACAAGGCTGATTTGCTATGGGGTCCTGACAAGCAGCCACAAAGGAAGCAAGAGACGTCTTGGATGTTCGTCCAAACAACCATGGTTCGAGTTCAGCAACAAACGGGGTGACCTTCGATAAACTCGAGGAGTTACCTGCAAAATCCTGCAAACATAGAGGAAGTTAATACTACCTGGACCTGTTTTCTTGTGGATACATCATCCATAGTCCATAATCCAGTTAATAGGAATAACCCATAATAACTACAGTATGTGTTTCCCTGTTGACAGTCATTGAGTAGGAATCTTGGGGATTAGAATAGCTACTAGCCCATAATACTTGTTTTTGTTTCCCTGTTGAATAGGAATCTGGGGGATTATAGATGATTACCCTCTGGTAAACATACAAAAAACTATGGAAAATCACCATAGAAATAGTGGATTTACCCATTAAAAATGGCAATTTTCAATAGCTTTTTGTATGTTTACCAGAGAGTAATGCCCATTTTTTTGGGCCCAGAAAATCTTCGGAGCCGAAACCTTCACGGTCACCAGATGTCACCGTCACCAGCAGCCAGGCGATACCATTCGCATCATTTCGTCCGATGGCACCTGGGTTTTTTCGGATGTTCCTTTTTTTGGATGGATGTTTCCATATTAGATAAATTTACACACTTCCAAAATTACCAGGATAATAAGCAACCCTGAATTGTTGAGGATTTGGGTTTTGAATTGGCTTTACCATAGTGTACCCTCTGGTAAATTTACACACTATGTTTGACATGAAGCCAAGAAACGTTGGGGTTCAGAGGGCTAGAATGAGGGTTGACACCACAAAGATCAGTGCACAAGTGAGTCTAATTTACACACTTCCAAAATTATGTTGATTTTTTATGGAGAAGAAACCACTTAATTAAGAGGAATAAAAGTGGAAATGATGGGCACCAGAAAGAGATAGAAAGAGTAAGTCCAACAGCATGTTGGATCCAGCAGAACTTACACGCCAAGGCGTTTTTTGTGGTCCGGAGCCACGTTGTGCAACTGAGGCAAGTGCACGGACAACAACTACAATCCCAACACAGCTGCCTTTGCGTACACTGCTCTCAAGGCCGTTACTGAAATTGGGGGTGCTGTTTCTTGTCGAGGTGTGTTGATGGTTTTCATGTTGACAGGATGTTGACAGGTTTGTGGGAGATTAACATGTTGACACATGTTGAACTGGTGCCGAAAAATGTTTTCTCATCATAAATATACGTCGATCTTTGGGATGCAGAAAAAACCCGTTGGTGGTGTATACAATCCCCAAATATCCCCAAATGATAGGTTTATGATTGGGTTTACCACACTATATGTTCAGTCATATGTCCATGATTGTTACTCCCAATCCCCGATGGCGCTTGGTGAATTTGGTGATGATGACCTGCACATCGCCAGATCGAACCTGGTGGTACAACTGGTCGAAATTCCAGTTGTTGTTTGCACAATCGAACCAACGCTCCATGTGTAGAAATCGAAGTCCCGAGATTTCCTGATTCGCTTCTACTGTATCTTCCTGGTTTCTGAAACCTTTTCCATCTATTTCCCAAGCATTTAACCTGTTGATTGCTAAATTGCCTTCATATTCTTGGTGATTTACCAACTTTTAACTTTTTTCTTGGACCTTCATTCTTTTTTTTATTCCACTGTTACTTGAAGTGTAATTTAAGCTTAGTTGTCACCTTGTGACAACACCCCCATAGTTTTCCATCATCAAAAAACCCCAAAACCACCATTCAATTCCATATTCTTCCACAGTTCTTCCATCCAAAAACCCAGCATTTCCCCGTCGTTTCGTGCGTCGTTTTGTGGTCCTTTCCTCGTTTCGAAACGTTTCGCCAGGTGAAGTGCCCGGTGCCCTGCAGCGAGGTGACCTTGACCAGCGGCACCGAGGTGGGCGATCTCAGCACCAAGGCGCCTTGACCGAAGCGTGACCGGCGATGACAGCATCGATTTTGTAGATTAATGTAGATGATATATTATATAGATATATGATTAATACATTTAGTTACCCATCATTTAGTTAATCATCATTTTAAGACTACATCTATAGTATATCTATAGTATATCTATAGTATACCTATGGTATATCTATAGCATATCTATCTGGGTAAATTATAACGACCTCACTGCGACCTCACTGGAATCATGGTTAGTAAGGGGAATCATCCCCAAATAGCCTTAATTCAGGTTAGTGAATTATTATAATTTACCCAGATGATATATTATATAGATATTGATTAATCTGAGTATGTTGTATTATTGATCTGTTATATTAATAATAATTATTATATTGATTATTCTAGCAAAATCTTACCCATATTCCAAGGCTGTTCATATTCCATGCCCAAATAGCTCCGGAAATTTGGAAAATAATGAACGACCTTTGATGATGAGAATAAGGTTGTGTGACCCTTGTCAGGCGCTCCCTTGTCACGTGCTGTCATGTCCAGTCGCACATGTTTAACCCCGCTGAGAACCTTCTCAAGCAATGATTTCTTGAATAAACATAATCATAAAGTCTTGTTTCTCTCATCAATCATCAGCTTCTCTCTAGGATCTTTTAAAACCATTGGATAAGCTGTTCAGCTTATTTTTTGACGCGTTTGGCTGGCGGCTCAGCTTCCGCATCTGTAAACGGGGCCAAGTCTGGATTACGCTGTTCTTCCTCGAACCCAAATGGTACCATATTTCCACTTAATACAGTTACATTGAGTAGGATGCCACCCCTGGAGTACGATGCCCCCCCCGTATGCGTTGCCGTTCCTGCATGTGGGCTTCTCAGGCATATGTTAATATCATTTTTGATCAACTCGAGGCTGCAAATTCCATTCCACATACCCACAAGGCATCACACTCTATCGCGCACGACTAAGACAACAATCGAGAATTTCCATAGCCTCCACGGGTCAAAAGTATCAAAATTTCATGGAATGCGATTGTATGCGCGACTGTTCAAAACGCTGGAAAAACAACAATTTCCCCCATATTCCATATTATCAGATTCCAGAGCATTTTACCTCCGAAGAGGAAAAAAAATAAAAAAAGCTCTTCAGGTCAATTTTTCGAAAAAAAAATGTTTTTGGCTGTCTGCGCAAGTTTTTCTGGTGTACGATCCCTTTTGTGGAGTACGATGATCTGTGAGTAGGTGTGTGGAGTGCGATGGGGTCCTCTGGGGTGCGATGACACCCCTCGAGTGCGATGCGACATGAGTATGCGCGGCCGGAAATCCCCTGAGAGAAGGATTCTGGGCCACAATTCCCTAAATTCAACAGAGTGGGCGGATGCTGGTTGTTGTAATTTAACAGGATTTCAGCCCACTCAACAAACAAGTCAAACAATATGTTGAAACCCTCTCCTTCTTCAGTCTCCAAAATGGGAAACTCACTTATCAGGACACGCTTTAGCTCATCCAGGCTCCATAGCATTTCAGGAACAACACAAGGCATCGACATGGTGCCAAACAATTTCCAAATTGAGCTGAAAGGTCTTCCCATCTCAACCAGTCAATTCACAGGTGTGAAACATGTCACACACAGGGAAACAGGTTGGGAAAACAGTGGGTCCAAAGAGACAGGTCTGGCGTACGATGGATTCATAGTATATGTACATTTTCTGAATTTGGGTAACTTGGAGCTAGAATTATATGTATATATATATATTATGATTTTATATGATTGTATGTATATATATATATAGATATGTGTGCATGAATCTATGGGTTTGTCTAAAGTTCATCCAATTTGGAGTAATTCAGCGGTCACGGTCATGGAGCAACGAAATTGAGAGATGTTTGACTTCAGCCAGAAGACAGAGTTTGGTCGGCAACGAGAGCCAGTAGGAAGTCTTAAAGCCGAGAAGCACTGTCGACAGTGGACAGGTCCTCTCGTCAGATTCCTACAACTGTGATGTGAACAACGAAAACTGTGTCTCGGATTGCAGTGCTGGGATTGGGGATGAAACAAGGCCAGCCAAGACGAGGGACGCGAGGGGTATGTCTACATATGTCTACATGATTTTAGATGCACAAATGTGACAAAACAATACGAAACAGGAACTACATGGACAAGTTATGAAAATTGGAAATATAACCAAGCAAATCAGGTGTATCCTCATGTTTGGATAGTATTTTGCTATATTTTGCTTAATTGACAAACTTGGTCTTCTCAAAGGCCAAGTAAAGAAACGATTTCACCACGGCCTTACCTCGACGCAATGATGGCAATATGGTGGCCCCAAACTGATGTAAACAAATCACAATAAACGCCTAATTTTAATAGTCATGATGAATTTTGATGTCAAACATCTTATATTTGTCAAGTTATTCCGTTCTTTCCCAAATGAGATGATTATTGCAGTGATTTGGAACTTGTGTTTGAAAAAACATGATTAGTGAAAGCAGTTACCAGCATGTCACCCGGCTTCAAGCTTTCACGTATAACATGATTCTTGGCTACATCATGCTACATCCCCATTCCGCATACTGCGCTGGCTGGCCATATTCCAATGTGTTTTGCATGTAAATTGTAGGTCATGTGTATGTATAATACATACATATGTATATGTCTATGTGACTATGTGTATAGATTAAAATGCTTTGTATATATGTTTGTATCATATATGTATATATATGCACATATAATATATATATATATAATACAATCTTATAAAAATATAGCATCCAAGCCCACGTATCACCACGTTTTTTTTCGCGCCAAGGTGAGACCAACGACATCACCAGCATCACAGCTGGGAAGCCCTATGATAAAAAACCAAGGCGAATTGAGGAGATTTTTATGGCCCAAAGAAACATAGGATATTTGACCTCAATAAATCCCATATGCGAACCATGGTGCTTGGAATATTTACCATTATTTACCTACATAACTGGGTGATTTTGTTGGGGCAAATGTTGGGATTCATATTCCAGCACCATGGTTCGCATATGGGAATGGTACAATGGAAATAACAATGATATTTTACACATGGGACACGCATATGATATGGGCTTGTCAATATTTATTGCTTGGATTGACAGATGGGTCGGAACCAAGCATTTTGCGGGGGTTAGGGAGGGTACACAGCCTCCTGCAATCGAACATAGGCGCTGAAAATTCTCGTTGTATATACTGTAGATATCTGTAGATGATTTTTGCCAAAAACACTGGGATTTGTGAGGGGTTGGGAACTGTCCCATTTTGGGAATATTGGACATCACCTTATAGTAGCCATTATAGACCATATACCTAATGGTTGGGTGATGTTCAATGGGGACATTTAATGACCCATGTTTGTGAGCCATGTTTGATTTTCGGAGGACATCTTCAGAATCCCATGATCCGAAATGATCTTAACTTATTTGGGGAATGCAATATCAGTGTGTTCACGTGGTTTCACGTGTTTCAGAAACTCATCAATGACTACCCTCTGGTAATGACTAACATAGCTATTGAAAATCACCAGTTTCAATGGGTAAATCCACTATAAATGGGCCATTTTCAATAGCTATGTTAAATTACCAGAGGGTAACTGCACTGGGCAATCGATGATCAAATCCTCCGTGTTCTTCGTGCAACTTCATGCAGCTCAGGTTGTGAGTGCAACCGAGACGGAGCTCACCTTCCAGCTGCTTGGGATGCACTTTGTTCCAGATCATGTTGGGTTCCTGAAAGATTGGTGTTCAGAAAAAGGATAAATCTTTGGTGATTAAACATGTTCAAATAGAAATTATATAATGATGTCGAAACTAGAATTTGATCCATATCATTGGAAGGCGTTTCCAAGGCTATGGGGATATGATGCTCCAGAGTTGTTTGATGAACAGCCTTGGAAAACCTCATCTTTGGATGGTCAAAGCCTCTGCGGTCTGCGGGTGTAACACCCTCATTGAGACACAGCACGAAAGCGATCCAGTTGTTTAATTCACAAAAGGTGGGATATTAATCCCTTTTCACCGCCTATTTCTATACACCATGATTGGTTGTCTGAAAGTCTCCCGCAACTTTATTGCTGCACTGGTAAACACATTCCTGTTGAGTGGTTTTGAATGTTCTTTCATAGACAGTTAACAGAAAAACAAGACTGTTGGGTTGGAAAGACCGGCCCCATATTGGATGACCACAGCCACTTGCCGCATTGCAGCCAAGGAAAGATCACGGTCTTCAGTTGGAGCCTCAAGGGCAACCCTCGGCTAGGTTCGGCTTGTAACCTGGGATGGCTCATAGATTTTGTTACTCCAACTGTTCCACTTAAAAATGTGTTGATGCCCCAATTGCCAATATCATATATATACTAGTGTATATATATATATATGTACATATAATACATACATATATATATATATATGCATATAATATACATAATATAGTTATCATTCTATAGTTAGTGTAGGTTATAAACCAACAAACACAACGTTTTTTTTAGGCACAAAAACATCAATTCGCCACGTGTGTCTCCTAAGATTCCATCAGATTTCGTCGCGGGGATTTTCCCAGCGAGCTATAAACCTCCATTGATAGGGGATTTTCCCCACAAAAAAAAAAAACATAAACATAAACATTGGGGGATTTACCTCCATTGATGGATTTTCTTTCCACAAAAAAAATGAACATAAAAATTGGGGGATGATTTCTCCATTTTTTTTGGTGTTCTTTCCACTTAAAAAGCCTCATAAATATTGGGGGATTTGACCTGATTTGACCATTTTGACCTTCATTGATGGATGTTCCCAGCTTGCCATGGCAGGACAGGGGATGAGATCACCCTGGGCGCCAACATCTTCTGTGCTGTAGGACCTGACGTGAAGGGTGGTTGGTTGGTTGGTTGGTTGGTTGGTTGGTTGGTTGGTTGGTTGGTATGACAGCTATGATTCATGGGTTGGGTTCATGTTTTCTCTCTAAGATATGTCATTATTAAGTTGTTTGTCCTAAGATAT